CTCATCTGCATCAAAGATGTGACATGGAGGCATCTCCATTAGCATACAGAATAGAGAACAGATTACCATACTGAACTCTGGGACCAGAAAAGCAGGGAAACACTGCATCATGGGGGATCTCTGCCCCAGCTGTTAATGAACCTACACCTGTGTGCACCCAGCTCAGCAGTTATTAGACCAATTCTAGTAATGAATCCTTGATTGATATCCAAAATGCTGAAGCAGCCTAATTGCACTGTGAGCTCCCTGGAAGGAACACCACCCATAGCTAGGAGTGATCAGTTCCTATTGTCTAGCCTAAAGAAAACCCTTGAGTCATCAGTTTACCCATAAACAAATCTAGTGTTCTCCCTTGAACCATTGTTGTTTCCCTACAAAAAACCCCTACCCACGTTCAAGTAAGTGTTCTCATGCATGGATCCAAACTCTGTATCAGTTCCACTGGGATTTCATCTTCTCCTGACTAATCGTGCTTCGGGCTCTGCCTGTCTGCAACACTCAGGACCCTGAGCTACCATTATCACCTGGGAATCCCGACCAGTTCAAACTTCATGGAATGGTGAGACCCCCCCCCCCCCCCCAGCTCGCGCTCATGCACGCTCGCTCTCTTTGTTTTCTTTTCTACCTCAAGTATAACTTTTTAACCTGGACTTGTTTGATCAGGCATAGTTTTCTATATATGACTTTTATAATGTAACTGTTATGTTTGTTTAGTCTCTCCTTGTGTGGTTATTACTATTATTCAGTAAATAACTTTTATGGTTAAGCTGGTTGCTTCCCCCTCTCTCTCTCTGAACTTTACTCTTTTGTGTTTCTGGCTTCCCCATTTACTCTGCAGCAATGCTTCTCTTACCTAAGGTAAAGATCCCTGTAGTGCCCAGAAATACTGTGGGGTTTGCTCATCAAGTGGGTTACTACCAGAACAATTGTAACATGAAAGTGGGGATAGTGATGTGCTGAAATTGTGACATACATGGCTTGGAAGTGCTGTTCGATCCAGCCTGCTTTGGCTTATTCTATTCCAGTGCAGTACCTGTGGCATATAAGGGTGGCAGCTTGGAAGTGCTGCTTGGCCCAGCCTATTGAGCCCAGGGACATATAAGGGGTCAGCTTGAGAGTGCTGATTGACCCAGTCCACTCAGACTTGCGTGTGCAGAATAGCTCCATTGGGAGGGGACTTGCAGAAGGGAGAAGTAGAGCTCCGTATGAGAACACAAGTGACACAAGCAGTATAGTGATAGAATTACAGACCTCACACCCCCCCCCCAGAAGAGTAACCCTAATAAATGAGCTTACCCCAAACTAACAGGCACATCTGGTAACCGTGCCAGGAAGAACTTCAAACCTGATGCTACAGAAACTAGATTGTTTGTTTGCATCTTTGAAAGCAGGATTGCACACTCAATTTCATTTAACTGGTATAATTACAAATTTTAAAAAGTCTGAAAGCAAATGTTGTCCAAAGTGCTCAGAAAATGGGATGATGTGAGCAATGTGAATTGTTCACTGAAAACAAAGGCAACCTCCATGCTCTGAGAGAGGTCACTGGCTGCCTGTAGCTATGACTATAACCGCAGCAGTACAGCTGAATGTACTACAGGTGAAATCTCATCCCCTAGAAAAGGCTGTATGCATGGAAGAGACTTTTGTCCCTTTCTATTTTATTCTACACAGGTTCTCGTACCATGCTTATCATTGTGATATCTGAGCACTGTACAGGAGTACATTACCCAATGTGACTAACATCTATGACACATTGTTTCTCTTTTATTCCTGTTTATAGATTTTGCTGTTTCAATGGCTGGGAAGAAGTAGTTCCATATACTCCAATTTGGTCTCTTGGATCCTAGCTGTAGGTGGCTTGCACTAGTAAAGGCAAGTGAGATCAGAATTCGGCACCAATACAAATTAGGGGTAATTCAGCTGAAATCAATAGAGTTATAACAATGTCAGCTTAGTTTGAGAGCAGAATCAGGGCCTTGGTTTCTTTCTTTGCTTTTAGGCTATTTAAGACCATAGCTTCCAGAGAATAGAGGCCAGAAGCTCCTTTTCTTTCTTAAAAAGAAAAGGAGTACTGGTGGCACCTTAGAGACTAACCAATTTATTTTAGCATAAGCTTTCTTATGTTCAAATAAGTTGGTTAGTCTCTAAGGTGCCACTAGTACTCCTTTTCTTTTTGCGAATACAGACTAACATGGCTGCTACTCTGAAACTTTTCTTTCTTAGTATTCTAAGGATGCAAATATTGGGTATTTTCGCCTTAGGCCCCTTACACTGTTCTCATCTGTGGTCACAGTGTAGTTCTCATACATCATGATGAGGCCCCTAGCCCTGAAACTGATACTTCATGGAAACTCCTTAGTCCATGCCCCTTTGGATCAACAATTTCAAACAAACAGAAGATTCCAGACCTTTGTTTGGGCTTGATTTGCCCACACATTTGCACCAGTTAAACTGAAGGTATTTCTTTAAAACAGTTCAATTAAACTAATGCAAACCTCTCTGTGGACACTCCAGTCAATTTAAACCTGGCTTGTATGGATTTAAACTTAATTCAGTTTCTAACTAAATCAATTTAAATTCAACTGATGCAACTCCTGCATGTAAACCAGCCCTTAGAGATTAACCATTGTTTAACTGTTCCAGGCTGGCCTGTGTGAAATTTCCACAGTCTGTGTTACTGGCTCCAGGTTGAAGTAAACTGTGTCTATACAGGGTTAGCACTGGTAATGCTATACTAGTGACTCAAATCCCACTGTAGACAAGACATGAAACAAATAGTAGTCCATAAGTTGAAGTAAAACAAGATTTATGAAAAATAGAGAGCGGTAAAAACAAGAGAGCTTGAATGAGCTTTCTAGTCTTAAAGTGCATAAAAACTAATCTCCATAGATATAATCTGTGCAGTGAGAGTGATAAATAAAATATTACACTTCTAGAGCATTTCCTTTCCTCCGTTTCCCCTCTCCTTCTCTGATCCTCTAGCAGGGGAGTGTGCCACAGACCCAGCCTCTGGTGTCAAGGTTGGTGTCATTCTCCTGTGGAATTAGACAGCTTGTCATCCTCTCTTGTCTACCTGTTACATATTTCAGGTTACACTGAACTCCACCCAACAGGTTATTCTCTCCACAGAGGTGGATACACAGATGTACTTTCTGTTAGTCTACCATGGTATGTTTTCCAAATCCATCCAGGACTGTACTTGCTGTCCTGAATAAATAGTTTTGGTTTCTTGCATTTCCTGCACCTCTTTCACATCTTATTTCCAAATAAACATCCTTCCATTTCCTACCTCCATTCTAAGGCCTCTTTGTTTTGGCCTCAGTCCATGCTTCAGTATGTTAATTTTTTCTGGCTAGAAGTGTTGGTCAGAATCCAGACCACTGTAATGAGATCGGACAGATATTTTCCCCTTGACTTTTTAGTTCATATTTATTACTTTGATAAGTATATAAAAACTGATTTACTGACTGATTAAAGCAGGTCAGTCCCAAGTGTGTTTCGTATATGTAAGTGTTGGTTTGGATCAGTACTGATGTATCAACAGCATAAATCCTGAATAGACAACTACAAAATCTTTTTTAAATACTATTGCAATGTCTGCCTGTTTGGATAGTACAGACATCTGCAGGAAGGCTGCTGAGTATGTCTGATAGGATTTTTTTTTCTCTTACGTTGTTTTTTCTGTTTCCGCTTCCTGTTTTAATGTAAGTATTTGCAGCTAAGTGAAAATAAGTGGTTGACAAGCTTGTTGTCTTGTTTTATTTTTTCTTTAGTACTGTTCCCTACAGGTGAGTCCCTAAATTAGATGCACAGCAATTGCAAAGGATGGTCCACTCAATGCGAGAGTGGCTTCTGTACCATAGGAACCAGCAGAGAATGGATAGCCAGGGAAATGAAAGGCATTATTGTTCAGGGTATAGACAAATTACAGCAGGTGTCTGCAGCTTTCATAGTCCCACAAACTGCAAAGGTGACATGAAGACCTCTTGGCAAGAGATCTCATGTTCTTTGCAAACAACTCTCACCTCAGACGTGACAAATGCATTACACCAAACTTGTCTTGCGGGATAATCATCCAGAAAGAGTAACACATACAGTATCTACAGAAAGCTCTAACTTGTCTAGATTAATAGTTATTGTTTGTACGTATGTATGGGTAATATTTAAGAAATGATGTATTTATATAGAAAGTATGCTTTGAGGTAGAGTAACAATAAAGATTAGTCACCAAAATGTCTTCATAATGGCCCATTCAGGCAAGGGGGAGTTGTCCCCCCACCCTGTCTGGCTGGTGACCAATACAAGGCTCAATTGTTTAGTTTTGTGCAATACTAAGATTTTGAATGGGAAACCATCAGAGGCAATGACAAACAGCTGGAAGCACTTAAAGGTGAAAAAGAAACTTTAATTTCTATTCATAGACAGAGTGAACCCTGCTCTTTTTGTAAAGGCTGTTTCCAGTATAACCAAAGGGGCGAAAGATACTCTGCATCCATTCACTGAGGAAACCCCTTAAGGAGCAGAAGGCGTTCATGATTGCTTGGATCCTGGGTCATCTGAAACCAGCCAGCTTCCCAAAAGACTGAACTTTTGCGGGGAAATCTGCTTTATTAGATAGGTAGCTATTGATAAGTGTAGACCCAGGTTGGCATTTTTATTTTGTATTGTAACCAGTTGTTTCTACCATTTTCTCTTGATTCTAATTAAACCTTTATTCAATAAACCTACTTTAGTTTTATCATAAATGCTTAGAAGTGCTGTGAGGTTTACAGGAGTGGTAGTTTAGTTTAAAGTAAAACTGGTAAACTGGGGTACACTGCACATTTGAGTGCAGAGTATCTGGGATTTCTGTGAGTAGTCAGTGTTAGGAGCTGGATATCACAGGGGAATGAATCTAAGTAACTCGGGGTTTGTTGTGCACATATTGTTAACCCGCAAGACAAAGTTAGGGCTGATGTAGCCCAGAGAAGAGTGCTTGAGTGTCTGAAAGGCTGGTGGTGCCAGGGAGCTGACAACCAGCTACCACAAGAAAGACTCCTCCTAACTGGAGGAAGTGGTTAACAAATCTTTGCTACCCCATGAACCATCACATGTGCCCAGGACAGAAGGATGTACTCATGTACTTGAGCTCCTACAGCTTCCCACAATGAAGTAAGTTTTTTTTTTTACTATATATTTGCCTTAATGTATCAGGCATTATCTGGTCTGAAAGACAGTAGGCTAGACAAATGCACAGCCAGCCTTCTATAGCCTTTCCATATAGGACCTTTGAGTCTGTACTTCATACTTGCAATGCAAGCTGGCACAGATTGGCCTTTTAAATATTTCTTTGTCATATAACTTGTCAGTTGCTTAATGAAGGTACCAGCGTCTGGCTCTAATTTTCCAGGAGTAATCTGTGGAAAGCCATAAAGTGGGAACAGGAAGTGCTACTGTTCTGTTGATCAATGAAATAGTCTGCTCCTGGAATTCCCAATTAGAGAGCTGCTTCTCCCCACACATGTAGTATTTTGGGAGTGAGAAAAAAAACCAGCTGTCCATGGAGCCAGTTTTTGTTTTAAATATTGGGTCAAATTCACACAGGGTCTGTTTTTGCAAAGGAATCCTGGCAGCACAAAGCCTCCCAAGGGGGGAATGGTGGTGGTGTTGGTGGTGCGAGTTGCCAACTTTCCTGCTCCTGAGGGGAATGTTATGGCTTATAACAGCATGTCTCCTTTGAAAATGAGACCTAGGCTTCTAAGTCACTTATGTGCTTTGAAAACTTTACCCAGAGTTTCCAATATTAGATAATCTCTTTTCTTAAATATTTTTATTTACAGGTGCACTATGCTCCATTGCAATAGCATCCCTTGTGGACCTGCAGGGTCCTAGAGCCCAGGCTCCAGCCTGAGCCCAGAAGTCTACACAGCAATGAAACAGCCCCACAGTCTGAGCTATGCGAGCATGAGTGGGCTTGCACAGACCAGCCAAGGGTGTCTAGTTGCTGTGTAGACATACCCTAACAGGGAACTGGCCAAGGCTGTTAATGAGGAACAGGTGGGCTGATGGGGCCTGATAGGGGGTAACTGGTCTCTATAAAGAGCCAAAGGGGAACAGGAAACAACTAGAGGGGCTGGGCTAGCATGGACACTAGAGGGTGGGGAAATGAATGGGGTTTTTGAGGTTGACAAAGGATTTTCTGAAGCCATATGAAGTCACTTTGGAAACTGAAGAAGAGTCTCTACTGGTGAGAGAATGGATGCAAAGGGGTGGTAAAAGTAGAAGATATTGGCAGAAAAACAAAGCTAAAGAAAGATATATTGGGATAACAGGGAACAAAATGGCAGACAAAGCAGCTAAAAATGCTGTAAGGAATGGAAGGATTGACATAGAATTGCCCTTGACTAAACAGGAATTCAAAAGCCAAGTACAAAAATTGTAAAAGAGGAATGATAAAAAATTGGATTAATGAAAAAGGAAGACTTTTTTGAACAGTGCCATAGAGTTTTGGACAACAACTTACTTCAGGGCCTGGATAGGATTAATTAGTGTTTTGTTTAGAGTACTAACTGGCCATTGTGGTTTAAACAAAAAACTCTTTGAATAAATAGACAAAGATGGACAATAGGCTCTCTGTAAAGTGGAAGAAACAATTGATCACTTCTTATAGATATGTAAGGGCTTTGATTAAAAAACTTTTAAGGAATTAAAATGTCTTAAAGTAATAAGTTATTGTTTAGTAAAAACATCAGGGCAATGGGGCATTATTAAAGCCCTGGTCTACACTAGGAGTTTAGGTCGAATTTAGCAGCGTTTAAATCAATGTAAACCTGCACCTGTCCACACAATGAACCTGCCAGGTGGAGAAGGGACCTCTGGTGAGTGTACCTCTTAAAATAGTATACATGGTTTAAAAGCAAGCATGTGAAAGGATTACTTTGCCCTGACATTTGCGGTTCTCCTGTATGTACTCCCAAAGCCTTTGCAAAAGGTTTCTGGGGAGGGCAGCCTTATTCCGTCCACCATGGAAGGACACTTTACCACACCAGGCCAGTAGCACGTACTCGGGAATCATTGTAGAACAAAGCATTGCAGTGTATGTTTGCTGGCATTCAAACAACATCCATTCTTTATCTCTCTGTGTTATCCTCAGGAGAGTGATATAATTCATGGTCACCTGGTTGAAATAGGGTGCTTTTCTTAAGAGGACATTCAGAGGTGCCCATTCCTGCTGGGCTGTTTGCCTATGGCTGAACAGAAATGTTCCCCGCTGTTAGCCTCAGGGAGGGGTGAGGGGCTAGCCACATGGTGGGGGGATGCAAAATGCGACCTTGGAACGAAAGCACATGTGCTGTGTATGTAATGTTAACAGCAAGGTTTACCGTGAAAGAGTGTAGCCATTGTTCTAGAAAATGTCTTTTTAAATACCACTGTCTCTTTTTTTTTTTTTCTTCATCAGCTGCATGTGTTTCAAGGATCACAGGATCTTCTCCTTCCCAGAGGCTAGTGAAGATTAGAAGGTGGAAAAAAAAACACTCGCAATGAAATGTTCTGAGCTCATGCTGTCCTCCCACACTGACAGAGCACAGATGAATGCGTGGAGGCAGACTATGTCAAAGTGCAGGAAAAAAAAAAATGACCAGGAGGAGAGATGGCGGGCTGAGGAGAGGGCTGAAGCTGAAAGGTGGCGACAGCGTGATGAGAGGAGGAAGGATTCAATGCTGAGGCTGCTGGAGGAACAAACTCAAATGCTCCAGCATATGGCTGAGGTGCAGGAAAGGCAGCTAGAGCACAGGCCGCCACTACAGCCCCTGTGTAACCAACCGCCCTCCTCCCCAAGTTCCATAGCCACCCAGACGCCCAAGAAGGTGATGGAGGGGGGCCTCCAGCCACTCCACCCCAGAGGATTGCTCAAGTGCCAGAAGGCTGGCATTCAATAAGTTTTAAACTTTTAAAGTGCTGTGTGGCCTCGTCCTTCCCTCCTCCACCACCCCTCCTGGGCTACGTTGGTGGTTATCCCCCTATTTGTGTGATGAATTAATAAAGAATGCATGAATGTGAAGCAACGATGACTTTATTGCCTCTGCAAGTGGTGATCGAAGGGGGGAGGGGCGGGTGGTTAGCTTACAGGGAAGTAGAGTGAACCAAGGGGTGGGGGGTTTCATCAAGGAGAAACAAACAGAACTTTCACACCGTAGCCTGTCCAGTCATGAAACTGGTTTTCAAAGCTTCTCTGATGCGCACTGCGCCCTCCTGTGCTCTTCTAACTGCCCTGGTGTCTGGCTGTGCGAAACCAGCAGCCAGGCGATTTGCCTCAACCTCCCACCCTGCCATAAACGTCTTCCCCCTTACTCTCACGGATATTGTGGAGCGCACAGCAAGCAGTAATAACAGTGGGAATATTGGTTTCGCTGAGGTCTAACCGAGTCAGTAAACTGCACCAGCACGCTTTTAAACATCCAAATGCACATTCTACCACCATTCTGCACTTGCTCAGCCTGTAGTTGAACAGCTCCTGACTACTGTCCAGGCTGCCTGTGTATGGCTTTATGAGCCATGGCATTAAGGGGTAGGCTGGGTCCCCAAGGATAACTATAGGCATTTCAACATCCCCAGTGGTTATTTTCTGGTCTGGGAATAAAGTCCCTTCCTGCAGCTTTTGAAACACACCAGAGTTCCTGAAGACGCGAGCGTCATGTACCTTTCCCGGCCATCCCACGCTGATGTTGGTGAAACATCCCTTGTGATCCACCAGTGCTTGCAGCACTATTGAAAAGTACCCCTTGCGGTTTATGTACTTGCCGGCTTGGTGCTCCGGTGCCGATATGGGTTCCATCTCTGGCCCCACCACAGTTAGGGAATCCCATTGCAGCAAAGCCATCCACTATGACCTGCACATTTCCCAGGGTCACTACCCTTGATATCAGCAGATCTTGGCTACTTGCATCACAGCAGCCCCCACAGTAGATTTGCCCACTCCAAATTGATTCCCGACTGACCGGTAGCTGTCTGGCATTGCAAACTTCCACAGGGCTATTGCCACTCGCTTCTCAACTGTGAGGGCTGCTCTCATCTTGGTATTCTTGCGCCTCAGGGCAGGGGAAAGCAAGTCACGTAGTTCCATGAAAGTGCCCTTACGCATGTGAAAGTTTCGCAACCGCTGGGAATCATCCCAGACCTGCAACACTATGTGGTCCCACCAGTCTGTGCTTGTTTCCTGAGCCCAGAATCAGCATTCCACCATATGAACCTACCCCATTAGCACCACATTGCCAGGGCCCTTGCTCTGAGAGAAGTCTGTGTCCATGTCCTCATCACTCATGTCACCGTGCTGACATCGCCTACTCGCCTGGTATCGCTTTGCCAGGTTCTGGAGCTGCATATACTGCTGGATAATGCGCATGGTGTTTAATGTGCTCCTAATTGCAAAAGTGATCTGAGCGGGCTCCATGCTTGCCGTGGTATGGCGTCTGCACAGAAAAAAGGTGCGGAACGATTGTCTGCCGTTGCCCTGACGGAGGGAGGGGCAACTGACGACATGGCTTACAGGGAATTAAAATCAACAAAGGGGGTGGCTTTGCGAGAAACTGAATGGCCCCCTCAAGGATAGAACTAGAACCTCAAGGATAGAACTCAAAACTGGGTTTAGCAGGCCGTTGATTTCACGGAGGGAGGGAGGGAGGGAGGAGAAAATGAATACAAAACAAATCTGGTTTATTTCTTGTTTTGAGCCACTTCATCTATCTTTATACATCTTGCTGGCAGCAGACTGTGCAGTACGACTGCTAGCCATCATCATCTCCTGGGTGCTCGGCAGAAGACGGTGCAGTATGACGACTAGCCATCATCTTCTGCTAGCTGGAGGTTTAAAGACAGTGCACTGCCGGTAGGACTCAATCGCCATGAGACAAAACAAGGGAAATGACCTGGCTGAGTCACTCCCATGTTTGCCCAGTTAAAAGAGCACCCAGGACTACGTCGATGATGGCTACCAGTCATACTGCACTGTCTGCTGCCAAAAGGCAATAAACTGCTGCTGTGTAGCAATGCAGTACCACGTCTGCCAGCACCCAGGAGACATACGGTGACAGTGAGCTGAGTGGGCTCCATGCTTGCCGTGGTACGGCGCCTGCACAGGTAACTCAAGAAAAAAGGTGCAAAACGATTGTCTGCCCTTGCTTTCACGGAAGGAGGAAGGGAGGGAGGGAACGGTGGCCTGATGATATGTACCCAGAACCACCCGTGACAATGTTTTAGCCCCATCAGGCACTGGGATTTCTACCCAGAATTCAAATGGGCGGCGGAGACTCTGGGAACTGTGGGATAGCCACCCACAGTGCAACACTCCAGAAGTCGACGGTTGCCTCGGAGCTATGGACACACTCCACCGACTACATGCACTTAGAGCATTTGTGTGGGGACACACACAATCAACTGTATAAAAACGCTTTCTACAAAACCGACTTCTATAAATTCGACCTAATTTTATAGTATAGACATAGAATCATCGAATATCAGGGTTGGAAGGAACCTCAGGAGGTCATCTAGTCCAACCCCCTGCTCAAAGCAGGACCAATCCCCAATTAAATCATCCCAACCAGGGCTTTGTCAAGCCTGACCTTACAAACTTCTAAGGAAGGCGATTCTACCATCTCCCTAGGTAACGCATTCCAGTGTTTCACCACCCTCCTAGTGAAAAAGTTTTTCCTAATATCCAACCTAAACCTCCTCCACTGCAACTTGAGACCATTACTCCTTGTTCTGTCCTCTTCTACCACTGAGAATAGTCTAGAACCATCCTCTCTGGAACCACCTCTCAGGTATTTGAAAGCAGCTATCAAATCCCCCCTCATGCTTCTCTTCTGCAGACTAAACAATCCCAGTTCCCTCAGCCTCTCCTCATAAGTCATGTGTTCCAGACCCCTAATCGTTTTTGTTGCCCTTCTCTGGACTCTCTCCAATTTATCCACATCCTTGTTGTAGTGTGGGGCCCAAAACTGGACACAGTACTCCAGATGAGGCCTCACCAATGTCGAATAGAGGGGAACGATCACATCCCTTGATCTGCTCGCTATGCCCCTACTTATACATCCCAAAATGCCATTGGCCTTCTTGGCAACAAGGGCACACTGCTGACTCATATCCAGCTTCTCGTCCACTGTCACCCCTAGGTCCTTTTCCGCAGAACTGCTGCCTAGCCATTCGGTCCCTAGTCTGTAGCGGTGCATTGGGTTCTTCCGTCCTAAGTGCAGAACCCTGCACTTATCCTTATTGAACCTCATCATATTTCTTTTGGCCCAATCCTCTCATTTGTCTAGGTCCCTCTGTATCCTATCCCTACCCTCCAGCATATCTACCACTCCTCCTAGTTTAGTATCATCCGCAAATTTGCTGAGAGTGCAATCCACACCATCCTCCAGATCATTTATGAAGATATTGAACAAAACCGGCCCCAGGACCGACCCCTGGGGCACTCCACTTGACACCGGCTGCCAACTGGACATGGAGCCATTGATCACTACCCGTTGAGCCCGACAATCTAGCCAACTTTCTACCCACCTTATAGTGCATTCATCCAGCACATACTTCTTTAACTTGCTGACAAGAATACTGTGGGAGACCGTGTCAAAAGCTTTGCTGAAGTCAAGAAACAATACATCCACTGCTTTCCCTTCATCCACAGAACCAGTAATCTAATCCTAGAAGGCAATTAGATGAGTCAGGCATGACCTTCCCTTGGTGAATCCATGCTGACTGTTCCTGATCACTTTCCTCTCATGTAAGTGCTTCAGGATTGATTCTTTGAGGACCTGCTCCATGATTTTTCTGGGGACTGAGGTGAGGCTGACTGGCCTGTAGTTCCCAGGATCCTCCTTCTTCCCTTTTTTAAAGATTGGCACTACATTAGCCTTTTTCCAGTCATCTGGGACTTCCCCCGTTCGCCACGAGTTTTCAAAGATAATGGCCAGTGGCTCTGCAATCACAGCCGCCAATTCCTTTAGCACTCTCAGATGCAACTCGTCTGGCCCCATGGACTTGTGCACGTCCAGCTTTTCTATATAGTCCCTAACCACCTCTTTCTCCACAGAGGGCTGGCCATCCATTCCCCATGCTGTGATGCCCAGCGCAGCAGTCTGGGACCTGACCTTGTTAGTGAAGACAGAGGCAAAAAAAGCATTGAGTACATTAGCTTTTTCCACATCCTCTGTCACTAGGTTGCCTCCCTCATTCAGTAAGGGGCCCACACTTTCCTTGGCTTTCTTCTTGTTGCCAACATACCTGAAGAAACCCTTCTTGTTACTCTTGACATCTCTTGCTAGATGCAGCTCCAGGTGCGATTTGGCCCTCCTGATTTCATTCCTACATGCCCAAGCAATATTTTTATACTCTTCCCGGGTCATATGTCCAGCCTTCCACTTCTTGTAAGCTTCTTTTTTACGTTTAAGATCCGCTAGAGTTTCACCGTTAAGCCAAGCTGGTCGCCTGCCATATTTACTATTCTTTCGACACATCGGGATGGTTTGTCCCTGTAACCTCAACAGGGATTCCTTGAAATACAGCCAGCTCTTCTGGACTCCTTTCCCCTTCATGTTAGTCCCCCAGGGGATCCTACCCATCCGTTCCCTGAGGGAGTCGAAGTCTGCTTTCCTGAAGCCCAGGGTCCGTATCCTGCTGCTTACCTTTCTTCCCTGTGTCAGGATCCTGAACTCAACCAACTCATGGTCACTGACTCCCAGATTCCCATCCACTTTTGCTTCCCCCACTAATTCTTCCCAGTTTGTGAGCAGCAGATCAAGAACAGCTCCCCCCCTAGTTGGCTCCTCTAGCACTTGCACCAGGAAATTGTCCCCTACACTTTCCAAAAACTTCCCGGATTGTCTATGCACCACTGTATTGCTCTCCCCGCAGATATCAGGAAAATTAAAGTCACCCATGAGAACCAGGGCGTGCGATCTAGTAGCTTCTGCGAGTTGCCAGAAGAAAGCCTCATCCACCTCATCCCCCTGGTCCGGTGGTCTATAGCAGACTCCCACCACTACCTCACTCTTGATGCTCACACTT